TAACCACCCCTGTTGCTGGAAATTTTAAGTTATTTCCAATTTTTTAATTGTTTCAGCATTGCAACTTCTCTCTCTAGGGTGTCAAAATTTGAAAGCAAATGGATTGTGAGGTTGTTGTTTGCTTATTTTGCTGTTGTTTTTATAGCTTATGTTGCAGAAAGTTGAAATAATGGTTTTCTATAATAAGGTAGGCATTTTATTTCATTTCAGTATTAAAAATGTGTAGTCTCTTAAAAAGAAAATCTTTCATGAGTAGATATTACTTGAAATCTGTATATTTTATATTTCTAGATAGGTGAAATACATACAAATTCCCACTGAATAATGAGACAGGAAAATTTATATGCTGCTTTAAAGTATTGAAAACAAAATGTACTAAAATAAATATTGAAAAAAAGGAAAACAGCGTTTCCTCCCTGATTCTAAAGTTAATACCTACATAGACAAAAACTTTGAAAAAGAAAATATAAATCTTCCCAAATTTTACCCCTAGTAGGCATTATTTACCTTTAACATTTTGGTGACTATTTTTCCAGGTGGGTGTGTATCTGTATCAAATTTAATCATGTACAGTATGCAGTTCTGTCTGTATTAAAATGCAGTCATTTCCCTCTCAACATGTTTTTCGCATATGTGACATATAGGTAATGCATACACAGAGACATTTGATATGTCATTATGTAAGAGGGATTATACATGTTATTCTGTGGTTTTTCCAACCAATAGTGGGTCATAAAGATATTTTCATGGCTTTGAAACTAGGTATACATCATCATTTTACTGTTGGTGTAGTATGTCTCTCTGTCAGTATACCTGATTCTGATCAGTCAGATGGCAGCAGTGGCTTTGACCCTAGGGAGTATTTGGGCCAGAGAACCCTGGGTGACCTCCTTTGTGGGGGTACCAAGAAGTGGTTAGGAGGTAAGTGGCTTTTCTTGGCGACTTGGTTTTCTCTGGTGGCTCTTGGAATTAGTGTCATTGGGGAGAGAGATTCTAGTTAATAGGGCTCAAGGAATGAGTTCTTTTATGGAGTGTGGGGCTTGAGGTGTGAGGTTTTAAAGTGAAAGGGAATTGAAAGTCTTGGGATGGAATTGGCAGAGTAAATATTGGAAACAGTTAAGGCATCTGGTTCAGGTCTGCAGTGTAATGCAGAAGATAGAGGAGAGCCTTACTGGTTGTGGAAAGGAAGGAACATGTTTTCTTAGTTGGTCAGGCCAGCTGTGACAAATGGACTTCTTGCAGAGATGGCTAATGATCTGTTTGCTCTCATGGGTTGGGCATTCATTAGTAGACACTGCCTGAAATGTTACTTGCTATATAGGACTTAAAAATAAACATGGTATTTGTTCTTTGATTTCAGAACTTAGACAAAGTGGAATGCAGGTGGTTAGGAAGTTACTATTTACTCTTCTTACTTCCTTTTTTCTTTTTTAAGAAAAAGGAAAACATTCTGCTTATACCTCCTGTTCTACTTCCTTAAAGAGCAATCTGGGGCATTTTAGCTGTCAGCCAATCATTTTTAAAAATTTTGTATGGTATGTATATTTTTTTACATTGAAGGATAGTTGATACGCAGTATTATGTTGGTTTCGAGTATACAACACAGTGGTTCAGCAGTTATACACACAATTAAATTCTCACCTAACTAGTGCAGTTACTGTCAGTCAACATATAAAGATGTTACAGAACCATTGGCTATATTCTCCATGCTGCACTTCCATCTGCATGACCAACTTATGATTGAGGTCTTTGTGCTACTTTTCCCCCCTCATTCTCCCTACCTACCCATCCCATAAAAGACTTCTTTATATTTTTTTAAAGAGTGTGTGGTCTCTCCTTATTAGAGTAACTTTCTTTCTTTACTTCTTCATTTTTTTTTTAAGAATCACTGAAAAAATTGTTAAGGCATATTTATTGCAGAGTGACCCAAATTAGTGAACTCTCAGGGTATAGAAAAGCACCCTTAATGCTAGAATACATGAGTCAGAAAATCTTTTGAGTTCAGTTTTACCCAACTAAATGATTTTATCGTTGGAGTAAGGCTTTATCCAAAATGTCCATTTGTAGAGTGGTGTAGGAAAAAGTGTAAGTTTTAGGGGACTTATCAATAATTTATTATATAGCATATCAAACATAGAGTTGAACTAGTATCATCACACTACTTCTGCATTTTTACTCTGCTTTCTTAGGGGCTCTACCAAAAAATTTTTTGTTTTCCTGTCTGGCACACATATTTGTGATGGGCTTATACAACTGTGAAGTATGCCTTGAAATAACATGGTGTTCATTAACTTAATAAACTTACTGAATGAAGGCACTTTCATTGCTACTGGTTATACAAAGATGAATAATACATGGCCCCTTCTTATTATTGTTTAGAGGGGTGAGATAGAAGTATATGGAAGATAACCAGCGAAAAGGAGGGGGTATAGTCAGTTCTACAGTAGGATGTAGAAAAAGCCTGAAAAAGCTTTTTAGAGCAGGTGATTTTTGAGAGGGAGTTGTTTACTACATTGGTGGTTTGAGATGGGGTGGGGGTTAGGAGGATGCTAAGTCCAGCCCAGCATCATTACTAAGGCCATAGAGGCCTGAGGCATCATGACTTTGCAAATAGCTTCATATGGCTAATGTGAAGGGTGTGTATGGAGGAATGGGAGATGATGATAGAGAGATAGTCAGGGGAGGTTGAAAGTTATCCAGAAGATTTTGAAATGGTTAATATTAGTGAAATCAGGGAGATTATCTGGCAAGTAGTAGAAGGAGACAAGATTCCAGGCAGGGGGGTTAGCTTGCAGCTGCTAGAGTAGTCTAGCTGAAAGTGCCATGGGCCCAGACTCTTAACTAAGTGATTAAAAATCAAAATGAAAATGAGAATTAAAGTGTAGAAACAGTAAGACATGACTGATGCTGTGTGTGTGATAAAGAAAGGAGAGGGAAGAAAAGAATCAGGATGACTCCCAGCTAAACTGTTTTGGGGGACTTTAGAAGATGTCAGTGGCCATTTGAGGGGAAGCTGATTTTAAAAAGAGTAATAATAAGTTTGTTATTTGAATGTTGAATTTGAGTTGGTAAGAGACATCCAGAAAGATGTGTTCTGTAGTGTGTGGATTTGAAGCTCAGAATAAGTGTTTGTCATCTAGAATCGAGTCATCAGGATTTAATTGTTTGAAACTATGAGAGTGGATGTGATAATCTAGGAATTTAAGAGAAAATTGTTAAGGACAAAGTGTGAACATTTTGGGTATGAGCCAGAAAGAAGAGCTGGTAAAGAAGGTTGAGAGGGAATAGTCTAAAAATAATCCACTGAATTTGTCAGATAGAGGACATTGGTGATTATTTCTCACGGGGTTTTAGTGGTGAGCCAGGAGTAAAAGCCAGATAGAATAATTCTGTATTTTATATTAATTGTATTTATTACACCTTATTACAGACTTAGGTATTTTATTAAAATTAAGAAATACTTAATTTAAAGGTACAGGTAAATCTAGAGAATTCGTTTAACCAACTGTTGTGTACCCACTGTACAGTTTCTTAAGCTTTTTAAAGTAATTGTAGACTCATACAAAGTTACAAAAGTAGTACAGAGAGGTCCTTCTCTATAGCCTTCATTCAGCTTCCCCCAGCCCCTTGTACAGTTTAAAAAATATCCTGGACTAGCGCATATGTTTTTTGGGATGGATTATGTAGAACTGTGGGGGTAGTGTAAATTTGGTTCTGTGTCCCCATATGGCACAAGCCTGGAATTTTGATTCTCATGGGAGCCTTTCCTTTCACTGGGAGCAGGGCAGATGGCAAGCTTCCTTGCTGCTTCTAGAGGCATATGGGTGGAGCTTTTCCAGATTACTTTCCATATAACTGAGCAGCCTTTTTGAGGGTCTTAGCTCAAAAGAAGGGTTTTAATTCCAGCTTTTCCCTGAAATAGGCTCCAAATCAGTTCTTCTATCTCTGTAGGTCAGTATTTCCCTAGACTTAGTCAGCTGGAGCTTTCATCTTTGAATTTCTTCCTTTCTGGCACTGGGAATTTCCTTCTCCTCTCCCCCCTTTTTTTTGAGTTCAGTTAAATATTCAAAGTTTTCACATTGATCTAGTATTTCAGTGTGTTTTTTTGGGCATATGGATGTATTAGTCCAGTCTGCCTTATTTCTTGAATCAAAAGTCTAATAAACTATTTCTTAATTTTATTCTCTGCTTTGTCCACAAAAAGGACTTGAGATCATATTACATTACTCTTATTAACATATTTATTTTTAAAATGGGTAACAGATGAATATGGTATGAAATTGGAAAGATAAAAAGGGTATGTACATCTCCCTTTGCTCTGTTCCCTAGTCACCCCACCTAGTTTGCCTTTACAGATACAACCAGTGACCACGGTCTTTATCTGTCCTAGAGGTAGGCTATGCCCTAGTTTATTCTTTAACAGCAGTTTTAGACTTTAGTGTTTATAACTTAATTTTGTAACCGATATTCAGGGTTTTACCATCTGGTTGACAAGTAGTAATTTTATTTTATTCTTCTCTGAGAGCTTTTTGAGGAGAACATTATACTAATTGTATGTTTTTATATTTGTGAATGGATTATCTGTGTTTAAATTTTTGTTCACTTCAGAAACCCCTCAAAATGTGACAGAATCTGACAAAATAGTGTAAACCATTAATTCAAATGTTTTAAGTTATTACGTGAAATATTAAAATAATGGAACATTAGCCCTAATTTTGGGGAGTAAGTGGAAATGATATTTTAAGATACTAGAATCTTACTGAAACACATTGAGGATATCCTTAAAAATTGTCCTAATTACAATCCAGTACAGACTATTGTTTGCATATGTGCAAATAATTACCCCAAAGTGAGGGGGGGTCTGTCAAAGATGAAGCCCTCTCAATTTAGGTTCCTCAGCCACGATTTATACCATTGATTGCCTAACTGCAGCTTGGTGAAATTCAGTGATATGGAAGCAAGAAACGGAAGCCTATGACCTAATATGTTTTCTTCCTTAGATCAACCTCTCCACTTCTCCTACACCTGCACAGTTAATAAGCCGTTCCCAGGCTTCCAGTTCTACCAGCGGCAGTATTACCCAACAGACTATGTTACTAGGGAGTACCTCCCCTACCCTAACGGCAAGCCAAGCTCAAATGTATCTCCGAGCTCAAATGGTAAGATACGAGCTACCAAATTTTTTCAGTGTTTAAGGACTTGAGAGAGATCAAAATGTTTTTTGATTTGATGCAATAAGAGGCATTTGTAATATTTAAGAAATGTTTAACAAATATTTATGTATGTTCTTAGCTTTGTACATTTATGTCATGAAAAATCCTACTTTTAATTGGTAGGCCTTCTTGATGTATCAAATATTAATTAGCAACATTGGGAATTTATTTTCTATGATACAGTGATTATTTTTTAATATCAAATTTCATTGATTTCAAACCTTTTTTCATTTTAACATCTCTGAAACTGAGGTGCCTTTTATAATTGATGGGATCTTAGTTTTAATTGCTACATACTGTGATACATTAAACCATTGCATGTATTTGGCATATTAGATTTAATGAAATATTAGAAATATTAAAAATTTGGTTGCTAACTTTAGAATTAGTATTGTGGGATCTTCTGTAGTCTGGATTGGAGTTCTTGGTAATTAATGAGGTGATTCTTAGCTTTGTTTATTCCGGGCTCAGATTCTGCAAGGTGATTTGTGTTCTTATGATCCCTTTGATCTTTTGTTAATACAGGAATTAATTTGGCCACCCTCTTTTGGGTATCTACTGATGTCGTAATTTAACTGAACTTCTTTAAGGAATTGTAGAGGTTGGTTGACATTTATTTTGATGTCTTTACAGGTAGCTAGACAAGAGCTTTGGACCTAATGTGTATTTATTTATGTTCATTTTTTTGTTCAGTAAACTGAATATGTATCTGGATTCACAATTCTCCACTAATTGCAAAGTTTCCTATCATACTTCTAACAGGAAACAATGATATGACTCACATTTTATTTGTAGATTATTCAGTAGACATTGGCATATTTCTGGGTTTTTTTTCTTCCATGAAATCTTATTTAATTAATAATATGCATCAGATTAGGCTGAATCATTTGAAATGATTGCTCTTTGTCCACTTTTGACCTCTGAAACTGGCAGTTCTTATTTGATTCAAGCTAAATAAAACATCTTCTCTTGAGGTATAGTGCTTTCAGCTCTTTGTACTGGAAATTACGTTCTTGTGAAAATTATACTTTGTTATTTCATTCACTTAAATTCAGTATATAAGTTAGAGTTTTAAAAGATCCCCTGATTGGTAATTTTTATTTAAGCAGGAATGGTTTTTGAGGAACTGAATAACTCTTCACGCAATTTTGAAATAGGATGTATACATATTCTTTGAAACAACTGTCATAATTTACTAAATTAGATTGGATAGTCTGAGTGGATTGTATTGCTTTTTAAAATCAATGGCATTTTGTTTCAATACTGAAAAACATTGAAAAAAGATGGTGATGATACGTAAATACATCGAGCATGTCTTTCCTTTTATTTATTTTTGATGTGAAGCTTTTCTGCAGGCTGTTTGTTGAATTTTGACATGTGGCATTTACATTTAGAATGAGTATTTCTTTACAAATAGTTTTTAAATCAAGAACAATCTAGGTTTGTACTACAGTTCCTGTGTAGCTGTGTGAAATATTATAGTGTTGTACATGGTATAGTTATCCTTTGTGGTGAAGAGGACTGAAAAAACTTTTTGGTGTCTCTTTTAATATTTCTCACTGAAATTTAATTTGTATTCAAGTGTAGTGATTATGGTTGTCTGTTATAACTTCCATTTTGGGAATCCCGCCACAGTTTTAAGCTAGGAAAAATTATTTAATAGGGGCAAAATTTGGTATGAGGATTTCATACTCCAAAAATACATTTTCTTTTTTGAGCACTGATTTATTTTTCTACTCATCAGAATCATGAGCTGGCTGTTTCAAAAGTGTTTATGATTTTTTTTAAGTTCTCTATTATCAGAAATTTCTCTTTGTCATGTAAAACCTTTTGCTTAGGAGACAATCCTAAACCGCATTGTCTTTCTGTCACAAATTTCAGTCTCTTTTGCCTGCTATGCATTGTGTGTGGGACATGTTCTTTTGTCTTAGGGTATTTTTTTGGTTTTTCTGTCTGTACAGCTGATTTTCACACCCGCTACCACTGTGGCTGCTGTACAGTCTGACATTCCTGTTGTCTCGTCGTCATCGTCATCTTCCTGTCAGTCTGCAGCTACTCAGGTGAGCTTGTCTAGCTTCATAATGTGGTACTTGAGGCCTGGATCTTAAACATACATTTGTGTTTAAGTTTCTGATGGTTTCAGTGCTCTTTGTCATACATTTCAGATTGAAATTTAATTAAAATACAATGAGAACTTCAAGAAAGTTTTCTGTTCTATAGAAATTATCCCATTAAACACAGATACTTAGGTTATTGACATTAGTGAAAGTTAATGAGTTCTTGTTATGACATTGTTTGTTTAGTTTTATTGTAAAGCAGATTTATTTCTCTAGTTATGTGAGATGTATTTTTTTGTGTAGATTCCTTTGCAAGCAGTTATGTAATAACTAAGTCAAGATAGATTTTAAGTTCAAAAATGAGTGAAACTGGGTAAATTTTAAATTTAAAAAATTGAATAGAATATTACTTTCATACTATAGAAAAAATGAGCCTTAACTTTCTCCTCATACCATTCATGAAAGGAAAACTAGAAGTAGAATGTAGACTTAAAGGTAAAAGCCAAAACTATAAAACCCCTAGATGAAAACCTAGGGAATATCTTTGCAATTCTAGGATAGGCAGAACTTTCTTTGATAGGATACAATAGGCTAACCATAAAAGAAAACAATGACAAATTGGACTTTGTCAAAATTAAAAACTGTTCTTCAAAAGACATAGTTAGAAAAATGAAGAGACAAGCCACAAAGTGAGGGAAAATGTTCACAATACATATATCTGACAAATGGCTTATATCCAGAATATACAGTTTGCCTATTATATAGCTCAGTAAGACCACAAATAATTCAATTAAAAATGGGCAAGGGACTTGAGCAATTCACAAAAGAATGTAATGCAAAAGGCACAATAAACACATAAAAAATGCTCAATATCATTAATCATTATAGAAATGTAAATCAAAAGCACAGTGAATATCACTACACACTTACTAGGATGTCTGAAATGCGACTGATAATATCACATATGAGAATGTGGAGCTACACTCATATATTGCTGGTGAGAGTGTAAAATGCTACAACCACTTTGGAAAACACTGTCAGTTCCTTATAAATATATGCTTAGCATGTGATCCAGCAATTTTATTTCTGAATGTTGACTCTGAGAGATTTACAAATATCTATCACATAAAGATGTTTAAATGAATGTTCATAGCAGCTCTATTCAAAATAGCCCCAAAGTAGAAACAGCCAACGTCCTTTAATTGGTGAATGGATAAACAAAGTGTGGAATAATGCTCAAAAATTAAAAGAGGACAAACTACTGACACATCTCAGAAACATTATAATTAGCAAAAGAAATCAGACACCAGAGAGTACTACTCTGTGATTCCATTTGTATCTAATTCCAGAACGGGCAAAACTCGTCTATAGCGAAAAAAATCAGATTGGTGGCACTTGTGGTGAAAGATGGGGGAGATTGACTGGGAAGGGACATGAGTGAACTTTTGGGTAACGGAAATGTTCTGTATCTTGATTGGGGTGGTAGTAATAGGGTGTACACATATATCAAACTCATTGAACTGGTTCATTCATTTTATTGTATGTTAGTTACACCTCAGTAAAGTTGGTAAAAATGAATTAAATTGAGTAAGCTTTAAATTAAAACAATTGAGTAGAATATTACTTTGTGTGATACCATTTTGGGATTTTTCTGTAGTTAATCTTTTAAACTGCATATGGCAGAAATTGGTGTATTTTAGGGTCATCCTTGGCTTATTTTGAATTAATCTTAATCTGATAAAAAGAAAAAATGAGATAGTAGTAATATTCCTTGGTACTTTTCATAGACCCTCTTTATATATTATTTTATTTAACAATAAAGGCCAATTTTCATAAATCACCATACAAAGATGTTGATGAATTAAACTCAGGTTTCTCCCAATGTGCTCTGTGATCCTCCATAATTTTTTAACTTCTTTGGATTTAGTCTCCATATTTATAAAATGAGACCTTTGTCTTTGTTAATTTTAAGCTTTTTTTCCAGCTCTAAACTTTTATAATGTCTCTTTGGAATGAATTTGTTGAAGTACTGATCTGTTTTGTTTTTATAAAGCCAAATAGAGCTATACCATTATCAGCTTCCAAATATTTTAAATTCTATTTTTCATTTGTTCTAACTAAGTTCTTTGTTCTAAGATTTTAATTGATTACATACAGTAAAAAATGCGTATAATAAAATTAGATGCATACAGTAAACTAAGATAATCAAAAGCATGCAAGAAGAAAGCACAAATAAGAATAGGAAAGTGGCATGGAGCTAGGAGTAAGTTTGCTGTTCAGATTACATGCATGAAGTCCTCATGGACTTATGTTCAACTCTCATTTCAGTCATTTATTAGTTGTGTGACTTCAGACAAGTTACTAAACATCTCTAATAGTCATACATACCTGTAAATTGAAGAATGAGTGGTTTGGGTATTTAGTGTCTAGAACGCTACAGGTACTCACTAGTCCTTTTCTTTTTACAATGGAGACAATAGGAAGACAGAGGTTCAAATTCTTACTTTAGCGACAGTTGCCAGGTTTGTCACCTGCCGATTGGTTGATTTTAGACAAGGTCATAATGTTTATAAATTTGGACTCTGAAGCTGGACCCTCTGGGTTCGGGTACATACACTACTACTTTCTCATTGTATGTCTGTATCTCTTGCTTCAGTTTTAACAATAAAAAATAAAATAAATATTTATAAAATAATTATAATGTTTCATAGGATTGTAGTGAGCATTACATACATTAAGTAAAAAACAACAGTGTCTGATACATAATTAGTACCCACTGACTGTTAGCTGTTACTATTACTACCTATTCTAAGCCTCAATTTCTTCACTATAAGCTGGAAATAATAGCTCAGAGTTGTTCTAAGGAATAAATGAGAGACTAATCATAAAGTACTTGGCATAGTGCTTGGCGCATACAACATGCCACCAATTGCTATTTTTGTTACTCATTGTATAAAGATGAGTTACAAATTTGTTTCTTAACTCTCAAGTAGCTAATAGTGAAAAGGGAAAGGCACCATTTACAGGATTTAGTTTCCAAGGGAAAAATAAACTAGGTGTTAGAAAAATGCAACTAACATACTCTGTAGAGGACATTCTGTCTGTGGGCTCTCAGGGAGGAAACATCCTGCATTGTCTTTAATAGCATCATTACTGTGAGCATAGTCAGTGATTTATAAAAGTGGTTCTTTGGGGTCCAGGTTGATGTGATATAGGTATACGGCTGTGTGATAATCTGAATTAAGTAAAGAATAGACTTTGAGGAACTAGAGGGGTGGACTGACCTTTAGGATTCTCTGCAGAGGTTGTTTTTCTTTGCTGTGCTTTTGAGATCACAGTGAGTGAGGCTGGCAGTGTTAGATGAAGCTATTACTTTTGAATTTCCAGTGATAACACTCCTGAAGTTCAGGACTGTTAGTTTTGAAAAATTTTGCTTTTTGTTAATTTTTAAACTTAAGTTTGCAGTTTTTAAAACAATTAAGTTGGTTGTGTTTGAGAAATACACATGTGAAGTTTTATTTTAATACTCCTCAATTAACTGAGGAAAAACAGTTTTTTTTTCTCAGTAATAAAATTTATAGCATACTGTCCAAAAATGAGGAATTTGGAATATCTTACCCTTATTTACTATTTTAAATGCTCCATCCCTTATCCCCACCATGCAGAAAACCCCCTGACTTTCAGAAAAATATCACAGGACCGAGAGTATGTTTATAGAAAAGACATCTTACTTCCCAAGGCTATCTGGGGAATGCTGTTGGAATTGAGGAGAAAACAGCCCTTTGGATTTGAAAGCTAGAATCTCAGCTCTGCTGTTAGCAATGGGACATTAACTCAGTTTCCTCAACTGCAAGGAAGGGATGTTAAGATAATTCACATAGTACTTCTAGATCCAAATTAAATAACTCATGTGAGAGCATTTGGGTTATTCACCATAAAAATGTAAGGTGTGAAATTAGCAAAAATATTTCACATGAAACCTAGATTTTTTTCAAAAGTCTGAAAGATCATAGAATAATTTGATCATAGAAAAAGTTCAGATGAAATGAAAGTTGGACATTAGAAGTGCCCTAATATTCTTTATTTTAGAAATGGTGGGTTCTTCTCAAAAGTGAAGCTCTGTCATGGAAATCTGAATGTGATCTTTCTATTGACAGTTTAATTAACTTTATAATATATTTTAGAAATATAGTTTATGTTTGAAATTTATTATAAATATGTAAGCCAAGATACTAAATATCATACCCATATTCTAAAATTTATTCATATAAATAATATATAGCATATGATATATAATATGCACATATATACATTTTCTTTCAGAATTCTTGAAAATGAGAGGAAAATTAGAAGAAATTGTTATTTGTAGAGATGGACTGCTAGAGTCTTCAGGGTTCGTTGTGTCAAATTTTCATTTACTGTAGCTTTTCATTTGAAGGAGAGTTTTGAACCTTTAAAGATTAAAATTCAGCCTTTAGTTTTCATTATTACATGGTCCACTTTATAGTTCACTTAAGGCAGATGTTAAATTTTATGTTATTTTTCATTTGCTTCCTGAGGGATTTTAATATGCCTCCACTAGATATTTGTTAAGATTTTTTATTTGGTTAAATATATACAGATTTTATTGTTAGCCTCAGATGACCATAAATAGAACTAAATACCAAAAAAAGAGGTATGTAATATATATTTCAGAATCATATATAGAAGAATACCTCAGACTTGTGGAATTTCTGTTATGTCTGCAGCATTGAACTGTGGGAATACAAAAGAAATGTCAGGGATGAGAGTCTGCCAGCCAGAGTCTCAGTATTTCACAGACATAGACATAAATAATTCTAAAATGAGCTAGACTTTTGTCAGTGTTATTATAGGCCAATATGATTTAAATTCTGTGGGAAAAGCATTAGAGAGGGGAAAAGAAATTATTTCTAACCAGGGACTTTGAGGAGCTTTTTGCGGGGGGAGTGTGGGATTTTTATGTGTCCATGAAGAATAGGTTAAGCTGCAGGAGAGAGCTTTGAGGAAGAATGGCATTTTAGGCAAGAGGAACCTAAGCAAGGGCTCTAAATGAAGAAAGTGCAAGGTAGGTTTGGAGAAGGGTGAGCAGAACAATTTGGCTAGAGTATGAGTATTGTGAACTGGAGTAGTGGAAAATGGGGATTTAAGTGCTTTGGGCCTAGATTGTGGAGGGCTTTTAGTGGCAAGCTAAGAAATCTGGATTTGCACGTATTTTATTTTTGCATTAAATTTCAATAATACCATACTTACTAGTCTACTTATTTTGCTGTGAAACATTTGACAAAAATCAGAGAAGATGCTGCATATGGCCTCACTTAGAAAGTTCTTTCAGTAGCTTAGAATAGAACTGATGAAAACATCAACTGCCCTGAAGTAAGCAACATTTACTTAGCATCTGCTATTTGTTGAACATGATTTGGCACTGGCAACAGAAGGCATAGTCTTTGAGCATCAGTTATTGATATAGTTGTAGAGACAGAATACACATGAAACTGAAGACCCCTTATAAAGCAGCAATGTTTCATTTACTTTGTCACTTTAAATCTCTTTTATTTTAGTTTCCCTCTCAGGACTAGTGCTGGCATAAATGTATTTGGTACATTTATTCCAGATAGGCAAAAAGTTGGGCAGTTATTAGAGAGGCCTTTTCTGCCTTGCTGTTTGGAAATGTTATAAACTTCATGTGATAGTAGTTGGGATGATCCTTGCCACCATCCAGACTGGTATTATGTTTAGAATAGCCCTGGGTATAGACAGGAGCCATCACATAAACCATTTCAAGGCTAAGTATAATCTTTTCAGTTCATGTCATCTAGTTCTCACAGGCAAGTTAGAGTTCAATGACAACAATAACAAAATATAACTCACTTAGAAAGGAGTTAATGGGAAATGCTTTTCATAATTATTATGATGGGATAGGTGATTTGATGAGTTGATTTTCTTAAAATATTTGTGATTCCTTGTAATTTCTAAAGAGCTGGTAACTTTTTTTTTTTTTTTGAGTAATATGTTTCTAATCTTCATTAAGACAGCAATATTATATCCACACTATCCTAATTGTATGTAGTAACTTCCCACAAGTTTAGGAGGTACTTGTGACCTTAAAATGTTTTACAGTCCTAGCATGGAGAAGTCATTGATATGTAGTAACTTCCCACAAGTTTAGGAGGTACTTGTGACCTTAAAATGTTTTACAGTCCTAGCATGGAGAAGTCATTGAAGTTGAAGGAATTGCTCATTCTTCCCTACACACCCTGGGCTTCCCACCTCTGCACCTTAGCTCAAGTTTTCCCCTTTACTGAAATGCTCTCTCTTTCTCCTTCCATTTGGCTGTCTCTGAGCTGGTAATTTTAAAATGGAGTACCTTGCCGAGCAATTTACTCCTATTCATAGTTCATTTGCTATATATGAATTCCATTTTCACTTAGTTCTTAATGATTCTTTTCTTTACCTTAATGTCTTTTTTAAAAATTGCCACTTAATATTTAAGATATGATTACTTAGAATAAATTTCCCTTTCCTTTAAGATTAATCAGTTGTTTCAAGTGCTTGGAGCTTTATGTATAAAAAGCATAATATAAATGTGTTGTCATTGTTATAGTGGTAATGATTACCACATTAGTTAATAACATCTATTTCATCCTTTTTTTTTGTTATGTGGTTCTTAGGTTCAGAATTTAACATTGCGCAGCCAGAAGTTGGGTGTATTATCTAGCTCACAGAGTGGTCCACCAAAAAGCACTAGTCAAACTCAGTCATTGACAATTTGTCATAACAAAACAACAGTGACCAGTTCTAAAATCAGCCAACGAGACCCTTCTCCAGAAAGTAATAAGAAAGGAGAAAGTCCAAGTCTGGAATCACGAAGCACAGCTGTCACCCGGACGTCAAGTATTCACCAGTTAATAGCACCAGGTAGGATAAAACTTTTGTTGAAAATAGTTGCATTATTCATTTTCTTAATAGAGCAAAACAAAAGATGTCCATTACTTGAACAGGAATGATACTTTTAAAACATTGTAAAATGTGAATTTCTAAAGTTAAAGAACATCTCAGAATTGTAGCTCAACAAAGGAGAAATCAAGAGTTCAACAGCTAAAACATTATAGTAATAAAATAGATTTTTTTTAGTTAGTTGACTTATGATTAACATCTTCATTATGTGCTGGTCTCCCATTATATCAATAAAAACTTATAGCTTTAAAAAAATTTTGCCTGTAGTTTATTTAATATGCTTTAGTGGAACAAAATTAAAAACTTTTAAAAAGGAAGCAAGTTTTTTTGTTGTTTAAAGTTGTTATTGGTGGGGGGCATTTATTACTTCCAAAGATAAGGATTATGTGTAAGTATTTCCCTTACCATATTGCTTTTTTTCCTTCTCTGATTTCATCCCTAAGAAGAATATGTCAGGGAATCAACAAAGTTATTTTCATTGTCATCAACCTTTGAATCCCATGTGTGCTTACTCTGCTATATACAGGTAATCTTGTTTCATGGTTCTCATGCTGAAATGTTGGGACCATCCAGAGTGAGTTTCCTTACCATCTCTTCTATTCATTTGAGAAAATTGCTCAGTGTTGGGCTTTCTTCACTTCTAAGGGAGTTAACCGCTTTCTTTTTTAATGTTAGCACTATTTGCTTGTGTTGCTTGTTGCATCTTTTATTCTGGCTCCTGACCTTCTATCATAGTTATAGCATCTTTTGCCTCTCATGCTAGATCATTTCCTTTGCCTCTTAAGCGTAATTAGGTCTCCCCTATTCTGAAAATATGTGCATGTATTTTTATACCAGTGTAACTCTTGTTTATTGAAAGTACATATCCAGTGTGTCATGCACTGGGCTAGACACCTCATATATGTTTCAGGAAAAACAAATCCTCCTTTGATCCAACCTCCTCAAGTAAGCATCTTCTTTCTTTGTTTTTATAACTATGACTTCTTAAAGATTTCTTTTACACTCTAAAGTCTGCTTTTTCTCTACCAAACCTATTTCTCCTCGCATGCTTCCTCTGTGCTAATATTGTCAGTGTTCTCTGTATCATTCAATCCCAAAATGTTGGATGTGATTGATTCCCCTAGTTAGAAACCTCTCATCATTCCAAACTTGTTTAGCATTTTTATGTTCCTTTATGGTACTTTTTTCTTTTATACTTATCTGTATATTCACTAATGTTAGTTTTTCTACTGGACAGTAAGCTCTTAGAGGGTAGGATAATACTGAACAGCTATGTGTTGGGTACTTTATAACTCTTTTGATCCCTTTTAAGATTCACCTTTTCATCCTTTTATTTTGACAGTGCTAAGTTGTGGCTTGTATGTACTTATCTATAATAGGTGGACAGTAAATATTTATTGGATTAAGAGTTGATTTTTTTTTTCCATTGAATTTTGGAAGTTATAGCACAATTTTGTTGAGTATTTTTGCATCTATGTTCATCAGGGATATTGGTCTGTAGTTTTCTTTTTTTTTTCTTGTTGATTTTTTTTTTGAGAGGGCATCTCTCATATTTATTGATCAAATGGTTGTTAAAAACAATAAAATTCTGTATAGGGGACTCAATGCTCAATGTACAATCATTAATCCACCCCAAGCCTAATTCTCATCAGTCTCCAATCTTCTGAAGCACAACGAACAAGTTCTTACATGGTGAACAAGTTCTTACA